GATCATTCTGCATAAAGTAGCTGTAAGACGCCTTGCCCCCACACCCTTTAGTCCAGTAGTGCTCTACTAAAGATGCAGGTGAACTCACAAATAAGAGTTGGCAACGCACTCCCTGAAGAACCTTTCCATAATAATTTAGAAATATTTTTGCTCTGAACTTAAGCCTCATTCTACCTGTTATAAAAATAGAAGTAATGAAGGTTTCTAAAGAAGAAAATAACCAAATACTTCTTGCACTTGTGCAAGGTCTTCTAAAGTTCTTTCTGAAGCACTACTTAAAAATTACTGTGGTAGTTAAGTGCTGTTCTCTCTGAAGTACATTTCAAGACATTCTGAAGTTAGCTGCACTCATACTTTACACACTTAAGATTCAAAGTGCAATACTTCAAGGTGTGCATTCTCCCCATCCTTAGTGCTTGCAGCCCTCAGTGCAGATAAGGCCCTACATGTTTTGAGCGTACCATAAAGGGTTCAACAAAATCATATTCACAACACTGCAGTGAGTCAGGCAAGTACTGGGTATGTAGTTGTACTTCTGATGAGGAGTCTTTCTGCATGCAGTCTGGCTAAAAATGTGCTGTATTCTACCACTCAAAATGTACGAGGAAAGAAATGGAATGGAAAAAGAATAGATGAGAATTTATATGCATGAAGGCATGATTATATTTACAGGAAAGACCAAGCAGTATTGGATGATTTTTCAGTTATCATTAACTCATTCTTATCTTCTAAGTTATGTCACACTATTCCTTCTTCTTCCATGGCAGAGGTTTTCTTCATCTTCCATGCTTAATGTTGTTCAACAGTTACTAGGTTTTACTCATGAAAGTTCATCCTCTCAGCCTCTTTTCAGCCTTCTACATCATTCAGAGAACCTTGCAACTACTCTTGGCACTTTGCAAGGGGATCTGACAACACACAGTGAGTTTGATGCTGAAAGCACAGCACACATTGAAGACACTGATCAGCTGAGCCATGTGGGTGTAGAGGACGCTGCCTCTCTGCATATTGTGTAGATTTTTCTGCATACAAACCACCCTTGCAATATTCAGGCCTTCTTTCTTTTCCAAGCAAACAGCACTTTGTTGCTAAAATTGGTAGGAGAGGGAGAACAGGCTCACAGTATCTCCTGTTGAGGCATGTAGAAGAAGAAAGAGACTTCACTATGACAAGTATGCTTAATTTTGCTTCTGTTACAGCCTTGAAAGAGGGGCTTTAGATTTGCTTAAGAGGGTTTACAGCTGTAGTGGGTACATTCTGGAGAAATGGGCAGCAGCACCTTTACCATTAGCTGCTTTTTTACCAACTAGAGCATTTACAGCACCATATTACCCTGGAGGCTTTCTTTACCCAATTCATCTTTGTGTGTGTCAAACTCACACAATAGGAATTCCAGACAAGAAAGTCCTTGTAATTAATACTGCAAAAACAAATCTACAAAAAAGCACATTAAAACCATTACACAACTAGAAGAGTTTTCTACTTGTAATAAGACAGTCAAAGTTACACAAAAAGATGATTTATTTTACTTAACCTTTGCACATGACTACATTTCCTCCATTACCATGAATGTAAAACACCCCAAAAACCTACAGCTCACCACCAGATAGAACACCTCGATCACAAATTTCCCTGCACAAGCTGATTTTGCAGTTCTGTTCCAATCTACATTAACACAGCTCTTTAAAGCTAGTCTCCTCTGAACTAGTTTCCAGACATGCAATTTTGAAGTATATTTACAAGCTGCAAGCATTCTTTTGAAGATACATGGAAAGTGCCTGTATGGATCATAACTAAAGTTGCCATCAAATTCTGAGAAGTGAAATTGGTTCACTGACTTACAATATATGCTTCAAGTAATGGCTTAGCAATATGTACATATTTATTTCTATGCTTGAAAAACATAATAAACACCTTTTAAGAAAGCAAACAACTTTGTCATTAAAAAAATCAATCTATTAATTTGTCTTAGGAATTCACAAATAAAAATTATACAATGATTTTAATTCTAGAGTCAGCAAAACTCTAATTTTGTTGTCAAAACAGACCAAACAACACTTAAAATTCTAAGCCTTCTCCTAATTTCTGCCCTCTCCTTAAAGCATGGATGCTCATAAATATGACATAAGCCAAAACATTACAATAGTTAAAGACCGTATAATACAGAAGTATAGCTGCACCTAATTAAACATGGTACATGAGTCAAATAAGACACAAATTTAACTCCAGCATTTGAACACTCACCACTTTCCAGTCCTGGTAATGCTTCTGAAAAAGTGCCATATCAAGTCCTAAACATATATGTAAGAAGAGAAACCACCCAGTTTCAGGTTCCCTCTTGTGTTTTCACAGAATTAATGTTTGCATAGTTCCCATCGTGCATGGAAATCCTACTGAAGTAACAAGTCTTGCCCCAATGCAATGTGCTTCCCCACACCCAGCATCACTGCAATGCAAAGATAGGCACCTATTTGCCAATACAAGTTTATTTTCATAAGTGAATACTATTCTAGGCTGTCTAGCTTGGATCCTGAATATTTTTCATTTCTAAGTAGCACAGTCCACACTGGTCTGCTGCCAATGTTCCTGGTACATTCTCTCAAGTATCATTAGAGGGAAATGAAAAAAGACATTAACCTTCTATTAAAAACAAGAGAAAGAGTACATTTAAACTAGATACAAACACAAAATAACGAAACTTGCACACAAACTGTTCTTTAATTCTTCCTAATAGAACAGAACAGTGACAAAGTCTTCAATCCACACAGAAATACCATACTCTAAACAACTCGGAAAGTTAAAAAGAAAATCTCACCTTTCAAACACTTCAGATACACTCCTCTTAAACACTACATTCCTTTCAAGTATTTTATTTTATAACATTGATTAACAGGTTACACATTATCCCATATAATCGCCATAAACCTACCACTTTGTATCTGATTTTTCTATTTCTTAAAATTCTCATTGCTTGACTGAATTTTCATCTAGTCAGATAAATTTAATGTCGTATTTGCTTTACCATCCTTATTTGTTGACAAATAATGTAATCTCCAATATTTCAGTATGCTATTAAAAATTTTAAATTATTAAACATTATAGTGTTATTCTAAACCCAGCTTTTAAACTTCCAAGTTACAAGAAATGAAAATCTAAATACAGTACAGTACCAGCTGCACAAAGGAAATATGTGAAGATGACAGAGCAAGCAGGACACAAAATAGTACACTCATCAGCACACACACTTACACAGAAAAGGCAAAGTTGCTGTGCTTAAGTAATACAATGAGAAAATGCACTAGAATATCTACCAAGCTCACATATTGAATATTATGTTGCTGAAATTGACCTATTATCTTTATGATAAGTGAATGTAATTTAACTGTTAGTACCCAAATTAAATTCTAAGAAAAAAAACTTTCTCATCCACACCAGTATGATAACAAATTTACCCATAATCCCTTTTTCTAACTTTGCCAGGAGCAAAAGCACAAAGAATTACATGACTTATTAATGATTATGCTAAATAAAAGTGTATAAATTTTACTTTTATTTATATGACAATTTCTGTTGGATACATGAAGTGTTAGCTTGGAAGAAGCAGCTGTCTAAACAGCACAAAATATTGACTTAATGCATCAGAAAAATAATACACATGAAACTCAGTAGCTACTCAGTTTCAAAAATATCTCTGAGCAGTAGCAGAACATAATTTCTTGCAATTAGACAGAATATATTTCACAGAGAATCAGTTTCATTTGCCTACTTTGGAAAACTTAACCTTTTGAACCATTCTTAGGGTATGCTGACCCCTAAAGGTCTAAAAATACTAAACCTGATTAAGCCATTACACATTTAAATTGTCAGAATACAATGCTCCACTAACTTACACCACCATGAATGTTTTTGTTTACAGAGTATATGATTCAAAAAACTTTTAAACTTCACTCAGTAACAGCTCAAAATGCCATAAATAAAAAGGGGTTTATAAGTAGTTTCTTTTACAGAATAATATAGGTAGAAATTCCTTTACATATGAAAGAAAAGGATCACCTACAAAATGAAGCATTTCTTCTTTCTTCTAAACAGACTCTCCACGAGAAATTTGACATTTATTATCTTTTGAGAGAGAATATATAGTATAAAACTCAAAAAAGGAAATGTACAATAAGCTATGAGGCTCTGATATAGAGGGAAATTTTGATGTTGACTAACCTAATCAATTTTGGATTTTTTAACCTACACAGAGTCACTTACTAGCAAAAATCCACTCTAAAGTGAGGATCTCTTTTTTATGTCTTTCCCTTCCTTCTACCTGTAACAATTTACTCACAAGCTACTTCTGAAAATTCTCTTCTACAAAGTCAGTCAGTCATGAATGTACTCTCAAATTCAGTGGGGTTTTTTCCCCTTAGGTTTCTGTCATGAAACATAGATGAATGTATCTGAGAACAATTATGTCTGGTCAATCAACTAAAAATAAAAAAAGATACTTGCATCCTGATGAAGATGAAAACTCCATCAACTGGAGAAGCTCCAGTTAACCAAAGTCACCTTTATCTCCAAGCCTTACCTTACTGTCTAAATTCAGTTGAGCTACTAATGAGAAACTCATTAATATTAGTAGATGGCTTAATCATACCCAAGCCAGGTGTGAATAGCCAAGAAAATTACTTTAAGACAGATTTTCAGATTTATTGCTAACAAAAAAAAAAAAAGTTGGAAAGTAAAGTGCAATGTACAGACTAAGAATTTAAACAAGTCTTCTGAAAGTTGTACAAAAACATTTTCAATAATCCAGAAAATAAAGGTGAAGCTTTATATTCATGTAGCTGCTCTCCAGTTACTGAAAGTTCTTTTAAGGAGCAGTATGTGGTTACTGGTTTTTTTTCTTTTCTTCCAAAGTCAGTCATATATCAGCAAGAACAAACACACTCCAGTCACTGCCTAGCACTGGTGTAACACCTAAGGTTCCTTATTAATATCTTTAAAGTCCCTACCTTTTGACCAGTTCTCCATTTGTTCCTCTGAACTTGTTTGATCTGGCACTGAGTCCAGTTTTTGCTTGAAGGTTTCAGAGCTAAAATAAAACAAACTCTAGATAAATAAACTTGAAACAATATAATACACCTATACTTTGCCTTCATTTGACAGAAAATTTACAAAACAAATTATTTTAAATATTTATAGCAGCACAATGAAGTCTGCATACTTTAACAGCCAGGGAAAAATTATATTTCTCAGTAAAATATTTTTTCTTCACTCATCTAATTTTTATAATTGTTTGGTTCAGCTCTCTGTTGCATGTGATGTCTTTGTTGAAATATTTATTAGTTTGGTTTTTTCTTCTAGAGTCTGGTCTTGGAAGTACACATTACTGAGCACAGCCCAAATCACACCAAGCAGTCCTGCTGCAGACAACAAGACTGCTCCCTTTGGCAGTTATTACAGACAGTGGCATGTGCTTCACTTCACAGCATTCTTTCTCTACTTTTAATTTCCTAGATAAAATAAAGTGGTCCATGACCACTCCAACTCTGAAGTTCTTTCTGAACAGCTAAATAATGCATCCCAATATTTGCATGCATATTGCTTCAGATTATAGTTAATTCCACAGTTGCAATATTTCATATAATTAAAGATCTTCAAGAAGTAACCTCCAATAAGACTTACAGTAAAATGTTATGTCTACCAGGCATAATTTTGAGTGTTAAAAGATATGCTCTCTTATGTGTTAAAAATTTCGTTATACTCGTTATCGCAAGGAAATCTAAATACATTTGTAATCTTGGTAACATAGTAAACTTATTGTATTACTTACTCATGCACCTCTTTAAAAAATATTGTATATAGGAAAATTTTTATCCTTAACTCTGCATTGTGCTTATTTTGTATGTTTTCCCTGCTGCATTTTTTTATATTTATTGAAAAGATACATGTGCCTTGAAGATACAGTGACTAGATTATGAAAACACTCAGACAGTTGTCACTGTGCTGAAAAATGTAAGACATTAAATAAAAAAATTAAGTACCTATTTTACAATTCAAGCAAATTACACCAAGACACATATTCTAAATAATAAAGCAGCAGGAGAAATTATTTTGCCATACATCACCAAAAAAGCAGATTATTTCATTTTTATATTTAAAATTGCAAAACAAAAATTAATTGTACAAACACTTTAGATTCAACACCAACACGAACACCAAACATTCAAGAAATACATATTTAGCTCATATTTGTTGTTGACTATAAATCTGCATGATAAAAAAATGCATAGGATTTGATGTGCTTAGGTCTTATCAAAAAATAAAAAGTTCACCTCATATCGCAGAACACTGAGTCCCTTAAAAGAATCCCTCAAATGAAGCTGTACGCTTCTTCTTCAATTCTGTGTAACTGTGTTGATTTGAAGTTGGCAATCTTTTCCTAAGTTCCTCATTTACTTTTGGATTAGCTGAAAATATAGAGGGTTATTAATATCAAGAAATAGGTTTCTGTCAATGAAGCCATTTCCCTACATATTGCACAAAAAGGTTCATAATAATTGCAGTATTTTAATAAGGTATTCATATAGCAAGACATGAAGAAAATATGGTATTTAATAACCTCTGGAGTATTTTAAAACATGTCTTAGGGCCTTAATGTGTCTAGTAATATACTATTTAAAACCATAATTTTATCCCTCCACAATATACAGTCATTCTTCCTCGCCATTTACCCAGCTAATGAATGCCAGCAATTAGTAAAATGTAATCCCATTGCACAATCATTTTAATGCTTTTAGCACTCAGAAAAGTAAACACCAAATTAATACTGCTCAAGCCATATCAGATCCTAGCTGGAAGCAAGCAATTATAGTTCAGCTCCTCAGGTGTAATTAAATGATTGGAATGATTTAGTTCCATAAATGCAAGTTAATTCATAAGCAAGCAACAAATATACTGGGAGTAATTACAAGAAACATTGACAGTCTAAGCAGGGCATGTGCCTTTCTGTACCTGATATAGGAAAATGCTGCCCTCTCCCGGAAATAATAGACAATGGCACAGAAAAATTTATGACTGAAGTCAAGAGGCTCATTTTACAGACGCTGTCTTCATAGGTGAAATAGGTTCTGCTAACTAATAGGAATTTTCTGGTTTAAACATAGAGAAAATAAAAGTGGTTGATATCAGATTAAGGTCACCTATGGATCAAATTAAAATGGAAAGATTTTTAGGGCTTCCTACGATGTGCCAATTAACTTCCTCATAATTAAAAAAAAAAGTTAGGATACAGAACAAGAAAATATTCCAGACACTAAGTATTTAAACTGGTTGCTCTGAACACAAATACTGCAATAGGTAGCTGACTTGGGCACAACACTTCCTTGTCCTTCAAGATGTACCTTTACAGAAGGTATCTTGAACATAAGGTATTTTTAGAACCAAAACTTATTGAACCATCATTTTCCAGTGAGTGTTAAAAAGTCAGCATTTCAAAAATGATCAGAAGTGGCCATTAAGGTTTTCACACAAGGAATCATCAGAAAAATTGAATCCTATAAATCCTTACTTTCATTTGAAGACAATCTGCTAATAATCAATCTGTGTAATGATGAGAGGAAATTAAAAGCTAGAGATTAAAATAAAGTGTATTGGCAGACCGAGACAAAACTGAAAATACAAAATGAGACCATAACCCAAATGCTAGAGGTAATTTGAAATCTAATTTCCTTATTCACTATTCATTTATCCACCTTGTGCTAGTGTAAAACTACTAGGACACCATGAAAGAAAGTGAAAATAAAAAAGAAAATTTCCCTATCGGTTGAATATGAAATGCAACAGTCACATAAATTAATAGTTAAGTAGAATAATGAAAGAACTCTCAGACCTAGCTGTCTACAGGAAAAAGGAATGCTTCCAAATGCTGCATATAGCAGCAAGGGCGATAAAATCACACACTGTGGTCAGTATGTATCTGTTTTCCACACAGAGAAAGTGTAGGAAAGCTGATTCGGAAGCATTTGATCAATGTAAAAGCCTTAAAATTGTTCTTTACCAACAGCACTTTGGCATAAAAATATTTATTTTTTCCAGATCTTGGTATATTTCAAAACAAACCCAAGCTGTACACAAATATATTCGGTGTTACTTTACCTACCATGGAAAAGAAAAAAATTATTTTAAGAAGTCATATTATTAAAAGTTTAAAATGTACTGCACATTTGCTTTGCCCTTTGATGTCACAGTCCTATTTTTCTATTCAAATCTTGTACACTGTAAGTTAATTGCTTTTGGAAACTACTTATTATTCATGTAAAAATTAATGTGCCAATGTGTTTAAATCCTTTTAAATGACCATTCATGCATCTTTCTTCTTTAAGTACCAATGAAATCTGTCAAAGATATCAATGCAAGATGGTCTTAGACAAAGTTCTAATATAGATTTTTTCTGCTAACATAAGATTTTCATTTTCGTCAACTTTACTTAAATTCCATTAATTTTTTAAGCTGCTTTTAATAAATTCACAAGTAAAAAATTTTAGGCTCCATAGTCTGTCATTTGTGTTCCAGCTGACTTTATGAATATTAATAACAGTGTTATCCTGATTAAATAGGCTTCATATAAAATCCCTGTGAATCCTATAGCTCAGACATCTCATTTTTCCAACTCTTTATGAATTTGGATTCAGACATTAAACTGGAAAAAACCTAAAAAAACAGATTCAATGGTACATTGGTGTACCCTTAAGCAAAAAATTAGCTGTTCTAATGATTCAAATAATTAAAATTGATAGAACCACATATTGAGATTTCAGGCTTTCTGTACACATGCAACATATTTTAACTCTAATGAAAACATCAACACTTCACAGACAAGGGATTAAGAATCTATTATAAAATAATAATACCTGTCCTAATGCTTACCTTAAACAAACAGATGATATAATCTTGAATCTTCATACATGGAGTGCTGATTTGGAGAAGTATTTTCCAAAGAGAAAGAAATTACTATATGTTTAATTACATAAGCATACACATGAAATACATGAACATTCTAGTTTACCACAGGAGCCCAGTGAAAAACAGCATTAACTATTAAATGGTTCATACTTCAGGAAAACCAACCTTTTTCTTAAGAATATCAAATTGAAACACACAGGAAATACTAATATTATCCTAGGAGACTCATGCAGTCCCAGTTTCAAACCGTTAACTTCTTTCCATGCTTATATGTTTGAATTATTTACATCTATGACAGACAAAAATGAAAAATTAAGCTTACTGCATTGCCTTCACTTTTTTATATAGTGCTGACTGGAATGACTGTTTCCTCAGTCATTCAGGAAAATATTCTGCAAAAACACCATTAAAATACTTTGCCTTTCAGTTCCTTGGAATATGAATGGATTTTAGGAGAAAAAAAATCTAAACAAAGTAACAGCTTATTCAAAAGGATGTCATACCAATCCTGGTTCTAATTATTCCTCAGCACAAGCACTTCAGATGAATTAAATAAAAACAAGAGGTATATAAAAGTAACATATATCTGTGAGATAGAAAGCATACAGTGCTTTACTTGAGCAGTTCCAAATGGCTTTTATTACAGCTGTAGCAGAATTTCCTCTCTCTGAGGCAAAATCCCCAGCCTCTTGAATGTCTGCAGAATAATAGACACTCTACAAAGGAGCACCCCAAGGTAACTCCAACCCCACAAAGCACCACAGCAACACTAATGCCAATGCTTTCTCTCCCTGGGCAGGACTGAGAAGTCCATCTTCTAAGCTAGACTTCAGTTACTGAGTCCCCTCCTCAGGAACAGAAAGACTGCTGAGACCACTCTATGTGGAGACCTAATGACTGCAAACCCCCATTCCTTGGTCTTGCCTTGGGAGAATTTGAAGTCAATCACTGAATCATAGCCTTAGCTGCTCTGACATGGTGCAGACGTTTGCCGCTCTTGACCGAATTCACCCATTCTTCACAAAAAATCCTCCAATTCTGGAAGAGTTTTTCCACACAGAGGGCTATCCCACCTGCCCCACCTCTGGTGGAACAAGAGACCCCTTTACTCCTTGGAACAGCACTAAGCCTGTTTTTGTCCCCCCTTAGAGGTGCAGTTAACAGTTGCCACCGACAGTGCAGGGATGATGTACCATATAGTTTATGAGGAGGGAAACAGAGAATGAATTTTAGCATTTTTCCCATAAGATTAATTAGATTGGCAGAATCTTCTAAAATATCCTGAAACGTTTTGCCTCGGGGCACACTGAACTAAAAAAAACTAACTTAGGAGGCTACTCTACATAAAAACCAGTTACCTTCTCAGAGCATTTCCCCAGGGAACAAACAGTCAGTTTTCTCAGGTGGATGTCAAGTCTTGACTAAATGACACACTCCTCTAAAAGAGTCCCATTTCCACCCTATCTTAGGAAACTTTATGGCATATTAGAAATCTAAGGCAAGTCAAAGTAAGTTAGAACTAGTTTTGGACAGTTATAAAAACCCTAGTCAAAGGATAACAGTATTTTTTACAAATGGAATAATACTCATCTGTTAGATACTTAAAAGCTGTGAAATGAAACACACCTTGATTACAGAGATACTTATTTTATTGTATTGTATTCTATTACTTTTATTTGCTTTTAAATACAAATAGTTCATGCAAAATATTATGTCTCTTTTAAAAAGAATATAAAAGATAGACAAGTGGATTAACCTTAGAAATTGATGAATGCAGCATAAGTATTATTTCCAATTTATAAACTCTCACATTGCTAAAAAGAATTCAAGATTTTGGTTAATAAAAGTAACTTAATTATCTGGAAACTTGATAAAAACATTTCCCCAGAGGGCAGAGTGAAGCAGTTGTCCCTGACTTTTCTTCCCTGCTGATTCTTGACCCAAAAGGAAATAAGACATATGCAGTTGGTTTCAACTAACCTATATAAATAAAAAAAGATATGAAGAAATGGGATAATTTTCCTTTGTTGCTGCAGCAGTTTCTTCATATCATCACCACAAAATTTCCACCTGGTGCTTGTAATAATGGCATTTACTGTAGGGCAAAGAGTACTTATTGTCTTTGTCATGCTTTTGACAAAAGCACAAGAGGAGACACAAAAATGCATAAAACCAACTGGTTTATAATAGGTTTCACATATTCCTAAATTAAACTTAGTTGGATAAAGGACAAGTACTTTCCTCTTTATTTTTTCTCCCTAACTTGAACTAAGTGTCTTCAAGGGTCAATTCTCTCTCTGTGCATCAAGAAATGCTTATGTGCATATTAGCTAACCAACAGCACCCTATCTCTTCTGCCCTCTGATATATTCTCATTTTTACATTAACAAGCTTCATTTGTATTTTATTTACTAAACAATCCTCAGCATGGTCTGTTGTCTTCTTCCCCAGTTTGTAGCTGTCCTGTGTCCTCTAATTACTTTCTTTTTCCTTAGTTTTGTCTTCTCTTTGACAATACATGCCTTTTACTTTCCCCCTGCCCACTACCTCTTTGAAATGCAAAAAAACCCGTAGAGAATTTGTCAAAAGACTGTCTCCCTTTATTTTCCAGCTTTTCTCATGTGACACTCTATTTTCATTCTGATAATGAAACTATGACATGCTTTGATCAGGTTTGAACAGCCAAATCATTTAGCCATCCTTCAGTTTTGTTGTAAACTCTTCACTGGCCTTAAAACTCAGTACTATGTATCATATTATATATTGTTATGGACAGCCAGATATCAATTTCTAAACATTTTACAACCAGATTGTAATTTCCATAGCCTTTACAGATAGGAACAAATATGTGCATTTTAAACTAGCTGTTGTCTTATCTGGAGCCAAAATAATATTTTAGTAGAATCAGCACAACATAGTGCTAAGGGCTACCTGCATAGTACGCTCTGTTGACAGGATCCTAGTCAGCAGACAAAGGGAAGTCATTAACCCCCCTCCATTCGGCTCATCTGAAGTGCTGCATCCAGTTTGACCTGTTCATGGATATCCTGAACTAAGTCCAGCAGGTGATTCAAGATGATTAGGGGTCTGCAGGACATGAGTTATGAGGAGTTTGCAAGGGTTTGATTAGTTGGTTTTAAGGAGAAAAGGCTAAACAGGGATTTTATTGGGTTTTAGCTGCCTTGTGAGCAAATAAAGAGAAGACGCAGATTCCAAAGAGAGACAAGCTCTAACACAGAAAACTTAGAGTTATGGGTAAGAGAAAATTTTTCACAGACAGGAAGGTCACTGGAACTATGGAACTAGTTGCTTAGAAAGGTTACAGAATCTCTATAGCTGGATATGAGCAAAACTCATCTGGATATATCAACCCAATCTAACTTTGGAGATTGCCCCATTCTGAACTGGATGATATGCAATTCCTGCCTACCTATTTTGTTATTCTGAAGATTGCAACAAAACAAACCCACCAGAACTAGAATTCCTGTAACAGAAAATATACTAGGTTGCTTTCTGCTTTACAGAGTAGGTCAGTAGAGGCCCTGACCAACCACCAACCAAACACCAGTGAGACACAACCAAGGACCACCCATGTGGCAGACAGGCTAAATGCCAACAGGGAGGAAACAGTGCAATAGCAGCATGTGTACAGCATTTTGAGCCCTACTAGTCTTGAGCACCCAATTTTCTTCAGTTTACTACATGACTGGATGATTTGGCATTAGGCTAAATGTCAAATATTGGTTTGCACATCATCCTTCAGTAAACCAAAAATGGACCACTGATACAGTTATTTTACCTGTCTTTCTGAAAGCCCTGGCCGCAAGCCCCACAAAATCCATTCTTCCCCCAAACTTGTAAAAATGTCACTGTGGCTACAGAGCTCCAAAGCTAATGATGGAAATTATTCAAGAAACACGAGTCTACAGTGCTTATGTTTGCAAAATTAATTGTGTAGTATATTCAGTATACTGAAATTCCCAAATCCCCAAATCATAATTTCTTTTGTCACAGAACAAAGTTGCTAGCCCAGATTTTACCATAAAAGCAAGAATAAAATCACAAAACATTATATGCACATGAAAATGTGAAGTAGTAACTCAGTGCCAAATTAAAAAACTAGAACAAGTTATTTCTGCATTAAGCAGAAATTATGTCTTTGCCAAAAACATTCCAATTGTTTGGCTGCCTTCACAGAAAGAAGTAAGACTGAACGGAGACTCAATGAAGAAAAGCAGCAGAGAAGCAGAGAAACTTGATTTATCCAGCCAACTCTCATTTCTCAAGGTACCTTCAAATAGCACCATTTTTCCTGACAGTAAAAATAAAAAGCATAAAGGCAACAGTGTGGATATTGGAGCCTGACCAAGAACTATCATGAACACCGAACATGCAGAGGCCTGTCAGAAACGTGCCAACCTTTCAAGATTCAGTCCTGTACATGGGGACTGAGAGGGGCCTGTTGGTTTCCTGCAGGGGAATACAGACCACCAGTTATGTATCTGTCAGGCTGTTTTAAACAGCACGAAAACACAGATGTGCCTCCACGGCTGTCATAAAGCAGCACATCCAGTGCACTCTTTCTACCCAAATAATGCAACTGCTCCAATTCTATACTGTGTGCTGCAGCTGAGGAAAGGAATCACATCACCTGAAATTTCACAAGCTGAAAAACTCAGAGAAATAAAATAACATTGACTCCACATTAGCCCTATTTGCTCTTTACAAGCAAATAACTACCCTTTTCTTAGACAACTACCTGAAAAGAAAGCTATCTTTCACTATAAGCATAATTGCTCCCTTAACCATGCTTGCTCAGCAGTAAAAGCATAGGAACATAGAGTGTTGCTCAGGTGTGAACACATACATTTTGACTCAATAACCACACAGTCTTGCCCGAACTTCACATTTATTTTTGGTAAGATTTAGCAACTAGATCCAGTACACAGTGCCTTCATTGACTATGAATAGGCAACTTCACCCTTTGTAAGCAAGAAGTGGAAGTTACAG